TTTCTGCACAGTAAAGGTAACGATGATTTAATGATTTATTTAATATCAAAGTTATATACATAATTTAAAGAGGTTTTTATCAAACATAGAAGATAAAACCAAGTATGTTAAACGGGGTTTTTTTTAAACTAAAATGAAAATGTTAAAAATAGCATTTTAAAGTTAAATTTAATGATATATTTAATATTGTCATACACACATTTTTTAACACATATACAAGATAAAACGATTATGTTGAAGGAAATATCATTTAAAAAAAAAAAAGGTCTTACATCATTTTAAAATACTATGACTTTAATCAGTGAAGTGGTCTTTAAGTCGATTAAACATGAAGGTTCATCAATTATTTCTTTTGGCAATCTATCCCAGATTCCGATAAATCCAATAAAAACTATATTTTAATAGTTTTAAAAATTGTCATCTAACAAATGAATTGTTGGGTTAGAGTTGTTCAGTGTCTGCAGTGGATATTAATGTAGTAGCCTAATGAAAACATAAGAAATTCTAATCTTTCTCTATTGACATTAAATTCATTTTACTAAGTCCTATATAGTATGACAGATTAGAAGATGAACATTTATCAGTTAGTTTTGTGGCGCTGTAGTTCTTCAGGCAATGCAGTGTGTTTCTAGAGGTGCTGGAACCGACTTGGTCATACATTCTAGTATGACTCTTACATTGCTAGGTATAGTTTTTCTTATTATTATTATTATTATTATTATTATTATTATTATTATTATTATTATTATTATTATTATTATTATTATTATTATTATTTAAGACATACTATTTCTGCTTTGTAGAATGCACTATATACACCCAAACGTCTTATTATCTTTAGACTTAGTCAAAAAGATGGATGCATTTCAATCTAGTTTCGAATTCATCGTTCAAAAAATATTTACAAGCTAATAAGGTGCCTGTCTATTGAGGATGTAATTCGAAGCCTCATTTTGATATCAACTGATTTGCTTCCTGCATTTCGTTCTTAACCTCATCATATTTAAGTGTTTACCGATTATTAATATAATATTACAGCTTGAAATATGTGTGTTTGTCATTAGAGGACCTTTTATAGCTTTGTACCATCAGCAGATTTCAGTAGGTGAGAGCTTGAAACTGCCAGGACGTCTGAAGCAAATAAATGTTAAAGATTACGGGTCCGAGAACCGACCCTATATTAAAGAATTTCCGATTTCACTATATTTACATGTCTCATAGCTATTACTCTTGTTTTCATCCATGCGAATATAATAGGAACTGCTATGTATGGACACAACTCAGCCAGATTGTATCATTTCCAACACGTTGGGATATCAGTGAAGTTGGATCAACGAATGTTTGATCATTATTTGATTTTAGTCACTTGCGAATTTTCCTCTTAAAAAAAGGGGGGGGGGGGGAAATCAGTAATGGGTTTGCGTTTGAACGTCGAGAAAAGGCCCAAAATAGTTTGTATGACTCGTGTGAGTTAGGTTCTTTACAAATGTAGCATAATGTTTCTTAAACTCTCCACACACTTTCTCTGGCAAAGTACCTTCTGAACAAAGTGTTTCTCACTCCGTCAGCGTCTTTCCCCTCCCATATCTTGCAAATTCAGTCGCCCACACTGTCTCCAAATCAAAGAACACTCCCAAATCTATACAGTCCCACCATCCTATTATAGATCTTCCTAGTACCCTGTAATTATTTCAAGCTCAATCAACCTTCCTCTAAGGGCCCACTCCCATATTAAGTCCCACTCCAAGAGCTATAACTCACAACTGTAACTCCACAAAATTCAACTCAAGAAATTCCACTTCCCCGTTTCCATTTTCCAAGGTACAATTTCGCTTTCCAAGCTACATCTCCAATCCTAACTACAGCTCAGCCCCATTCCTTAAACTACAGTTCCTCAATCAGTGGTTTAGCAATCCTCTTTTATGCTATTGGTGTGGTCGTAATAATAGTTTAAGATTTAAATCCACTGAATCAACATGAATGTTGACTCATTAAACTTAGAGTGACATTCAGTCTTTGTTGGTACTTCAAACAAGTGAAAGAATAATGCAATTGTTGTGATAGGTCTGCCTAATAAGAAGACGAACCTTGATGAAATCCACTCACGGTTGTTTGCCTTTGCGGACATTCACCATAGCTAATATCCAATCAAAGGTAACGATATTGCTTTAATTGGAAGGTGCGAATTGATGTACATACTCATTATCATGACTTAGGATTATATCTATAGGCAAAATTACTCAGCAAAGAAGATTTTTTTTTATTTTTTTTCTTACATTTTAGGTTTTGCTGTCTCGCCCATAAACGCCCTACGTGTATTATTAGTCAGCATTCAGAGACAGGGTGCATTAAGGGGCGACTGAACATCTAGTACAGTATATTTAAGATTTCTTTAACCGTTATACTCAAGATCACTGGATAAATGCCTAAATATATCACTAATGTGTTACTATTGAAATTCCATCTATTACTAACTATCCAACAAGGATACGTTACGTTTTGAAGGATAACAGATTAATTAATCAATTTTCTCCTCATCATTAATTCAAGACTACACATACTACACATACACCAAATTTGAACTTAACTTACTCTTCATTATTAAAGACGGTTACATAATATATACATCATCAATAGTATCATCAGTATCATCGTCATCACATTCACCATCACAATGCCTACAATATATCCGACCTAAATAAAATATTCTGCAAATTATTATTGTCATTATCATCTCAGCATTATCATCATCTTAACAACAGTAACAACAATAACAACAACAATAATAACAATAATAACATAACAAAGCAAATAGTTGCAGTAATATTAACACTAAAACAATAGCGTCAATAACGTCAAAAGCTGCAGCAACAACATCAAAAACAACAGTAACAGCAGAATGCTCTACAGCAAAAGCAACAATAATGATGATGATAATAATAATAATAATAATAATAATAATAATAATAATAGTTATAAAAGATATCGATAAAACGCTAATTAAAAGTGCGTCACATGATGCGTTAGGTGAGAAATTTGTTTATGCAGCGTTATATGTGGTGATGTATTTGTAGGTCCCAATACCAATTTCTCACTAAACATATTATAAAAAAAAAAGTCTATAAATATGTATAAGCCTGTACTAACCTTCGGTATCTGTTTGGAAAGGAAACCATACTTCGGTTGTTACATCATCACTTGCTATGGTTACGTTTTTAGCATCACCTGCTTTGAGAGATTTAATCAAGCTAGATTTGCCACTTCCACGCTCTCCAACAAATAAAACTCGCATTCGGTATCCAATGTATTGCTCTTTGAAATACATAATTATCTCATTCGTGCTGTTACTGTTTACAATTTCTGGCTTTGGAAATATTAGATTTTTGCACATTCGAACATCAAGCTCCTTAAGTGTGGTAAGTTGAACGATATCAAACGGAATACGCGTAAGACGTGTATTTTTTAAGGACACCCTCTCCAGTTTTGTACAATTTTTTGTAAGAGTTGACAATGAAATATCCGTAACACGTTCACAATTTTCTAAGATGATGTGCTCAAGATGTATGCATGCACCTGCAATGTATTCTACTCCTATATCAGTGACATTACTGTTTCCGACGTCTAGATGACAAAGTTCCGGTCGGGAATGTCCAAGCGTTTTTAATCCATTGTCTGTCACATTCGTTGCGTTTATTCTTAAAAATCTCAATCGCGGGCATTGGAGCGCAATTGTCTCAACACCATAGTCCGTTATATGTTTGCACTGGCTAAGATCAATACTAATTAAAGTAAAGCCGTGTTTGTAAATAAGAGCTTTAACACCTGCATCGCTGATGTCTGAAAAACCAGAAAACGTTACTGCTTCCAGCGCAGGCGCGTTACTATGGTTAACAAACTCAGCAATGGCATCATCTGAAACGCCCCAAGTTCCTCCGTTGTCTCCAAAACCTACACACGAGAAAGATTTCAGACTGGAGCAATGGTCTCCTACAAATTTAAAACTTTCGTTGTCTATACCAGGACAGCATGTGAATTTTATTTCTTTCAAATTGGAACATCTTTCAGTTATTAGAGCAACAGAATTACAATTAAATTCGGTCAATTGTGCGACATGAAGAGATGATAAGTTACGGTTGAGAAGTCGAACAAGCTCACGGAAAGATTCGTCAGATGCCAGACATGCGCACTGACTTAAACTAAGGCTTCTAGCACTCGGTTTTGCTTGAATTGCCACCTTATAAAAGAACAAAAAGGAACGTTTAACTGAAGGCGATAAAAATATTTCTTAATAGAGGTAATCAAGTTGGCTCAATAGTTATCTGAACTGATGTTACATATGAGAGTACAGTTAGGTACGTTTTAGACTTGGCATATGTAGTAATACATATTATATATAAACAGATAAAAATATTTTTTTTGCCAGAGTGTAATATTTCTAACTTAACTATATTCAAATTTTGTTTTGTTGCTTGTTTTATTTCTTAATTTACTATTATTCTAATGATTATGATATTATGTATTATTATTATTATATTTTTTTTTATGTTTTTTTGTTCGAGTTGATTTATTCCATATTGCTTACTATTGTATATTCTATGTTGTGAGCTGAATTTCAATTTTAAAAAATCTACCTTTGAAGTTCAATTTTATAGAGTTTATAGCAATAAAGTGCTGCTTGACTGATTTTATCTGAAAAAAACATTGTCAACTTGTTCCAAAGCATACACAATGCATATACAATGTACCGTATACGTTATGAACCAATTACTGCTCACCGCACTTCGTGCAACTCTATAGACCTTCAGTAAACAGCTCGAATTTTCATTTCATTTCATTCATTTATTCGACCAATACACATTTACAAAAGGTACAGTTCAACAAAAATTATGGTCAAATAAATAAATTATGGTGTTTTAAGGTTAAGAAACAGGGCAGCCAGATTACTTACGAATATCAGTAACGTAGAGGAGGGCCTGTTTGGGTATTACAGCCTAGTGCCTTCAACAATTCAAAGAATATGATTTATGATATTTTAGGAGAAAAAATGAAGAAAACATTGATATTTAGCATGTTTTACTCAATTGTTAATCCACATACGCCATATTTTGCTATGTATGTATGTGTACAGAAAATACCGGGGTTTTCGCTTATATTGTGTATTATGGCTACGGCATGCGATTGTACGTTTGAGATTTATTTTTTTACATTTTATGTTTGGTTTATTTGAATTGTACGATTAGTGTAAGTTTTTACACTAAAATTATTCTGAAACTCATTTGTAATTTATATATGGCAGTTTTCTTCGATTTTATAATCAATCAATTATACTCGCCTCTGTTTGCGGTAAAATATGGTACATTTGCATATCGATTATCGATTTATCATCTAAGACTGACCTGAATATGTCTACTGTCGGAATTTTCAAGCGCGTGCTCAACTGTAGCAGTACTGTATTGAAAGAAAGTGTATGTAATTGTTATGTCGATATTATATTTTCAATTACGGTATAATAGTCACCAGTTTATTAATGGTCATATCAAGTAGGTTTCAATGGGAAAAAATTTTATGTAGAAGTTACGAAATCAATACACTCAAGATAATTGAATAACCTCGTCCTGTATATTTGAGATAATCCGTGTATAGGCCTACCGTGCAAAATGCCGGTTACTTTGAAAAAAAAATAGCTGCAGCAGTTATAACATTTCCAGTCGGCACTAGTGATGAACTTGCTAGTGAGATACTGTAGATAACTTTTATAATTTATTGTAAATGCAATTTCTTCGTGTGTAATTATATCGAAACCAACAGACCACAATTTTACCAAATTCATCTTTATCAATTTGCTTTTTTTGTAATTTAGATTAGGTTAATTTTGTTTTTTATTTAATTATTTAGTTGTAACCATGTTGTTCTTATTTTATGTCGTTCATGTACTCAGTATAGCATTATCAGTCGCAATTTAGCTGGAAAGCTACAAAGACGACATTTTTTAATAAAATTTGATTTGATTTGATTTGATTTGATTTAATATTAATATTAATAATAATAATAATAAACTAATAATAATAATAATAATAACAATAATAATAATAGTAATAATAATAATAATAATAATAATAATAATAATAATGACGATGGTGATGATGATGATGATGCAGATGATATTGCTGATAATGATGCTGCTGCTGCTGCTGCTGACGATGATGATGATGATTATGATGATTATGATGATTATGGTGATAGCGAATCGAACGGTAAGGCAGGGGTGGCGCCAGCAGGGGCCAGCGGTGGCTAAAACCACAATTTGTCAGGGAGAAAACATTTTCTGCATATTAATAGAGTCTAAAATTGATTACATAAGCCTTTGAAGCCCTAAATTCCTGGACTACTTCAAAAAAATTAACGATGACGCCCGACCACGTCCACTTTGCTTTCATCGGAAACATTGACGCCACCGTCCTCACACTTCGATCCCCTGTCGGACTATCCTGAAGCTCGGAAACCTACAGCCATAATATAGGCGCTGGTTCGAACGGCATGTTTTGTGGTTCAGGAGCTTAAAGTATTCTCGGATAAGGACTATACACCGTAAGCCCAGTTTGCAATGCCCATGTGCACAAAGTACCCAGTACATCTTTCGAGACGTGTAGGGGGTAACCCCGGTGTACTGGTCAATTTAGACAGTTAAGAGTAGCTGGTGATCGGGCAGCTCAGACCTTTAGGAGATAGGAAAGTTACTGAATGAGGTCCACGCTTTAAGCGCTCTGATCTTCATGAAATAGCGCTACATATTATGTTGTAATGTATGTAGGCCTATGTATGTGTGATAATAATAATAATAATAATAATAATAATAATAATAATAATAATAATAATAATAATAATGATAATAATAATAATAATAGTAATAGTAATACAGATAACGCCAACATCCTCATGCACTATGTACTGATGAAGCACCACATTTAACAAACATAAGAGCTGTATGCGCTATATTGTTAGAGATGTTGTATAAAAGGGAGCGGGGGCACAGATACTGTATCTTTCCCTTTGAATTTTAACTCAATGCAACCAACGATCTAATAAGAAGCTGAAGCAACTTGATATCAATCCGAATCTCACACTTTGGATCCGCGAATTTCTTCAAAATTAGACTTAACGTACAAACCTATCAGGAACTTTTTCGGAACTCACTACAACTAATACAGGCCCTCCTCAGGGTTGTGTACTCTCGTCGTTATTGTATACCACTTACACAATACTGTAGATCTGAATATAATGGCATCCATATAATTAAGTAGGCCTATGCAGTTGGCACAGCAATTGTCGGTCTTATGAAAAATGACCCCTCTAACTATATAAATTATATTGCAGCCTTTGCAGAATGGTGCAAAGAAAACATGTAAAAATTGAATGAAAGCAAAATTTGCAATATTTTTTATTATTTTATTTGCAAAAGCAATATTTGTTGACTTTAAAAAAAAAACACATAAGAACAGCGATGCACCCTTAATGCTCAATGGCAACGATATTAAAGTTAGCAATAAGTATTTAGGAACTGTAATCAATAATCGGTTGGAAGTGGGAAGAACAGTGTAAGGTCATAATTGCAAAGTGGAAGTTAGACTACACTACCTTAGGAAAATAAGATATTTTAGAGAATGGACAATTCTATACATAAAACAGTTTTACACTTCCGCTGTATTAAATAGAGCTGGAAAACATGTTAAATGAGCATATCTTCCTATAAAGTATATGTGTAAGAAGAATAATAGAACTCATCCTTCAAATAGAACTCATCCTTGATTCAATAAATTATAACTTGTTGCATTATGGAAAGACACTTATGTGCCACAAATGCAGTACAAGCAGATATCTAAACACATTCATCCCATACTCCATAAGAATGTGCAATAAATCTCTTTATCAATGAATGTGCAATACTTAGTCAGCAATTATGTCTGCTTAGTGAAGAACTCAATTATGTTTTACTCTTGCAAACCATGTTTTATCTACTATGTATCCATACACCATCACAATTTGCAATTTATCTTAATTATCAACCCAATTTCGTTTCACTTCCTGCAACTCATGTTTTACATTTTCTCTATAATTTAATGTCTTGAGTATATTTTTTGTGTGTTAGACTTTAGTATTTCAAAATGTTAACCTCTGTTTTTATTATATACATTTGTATTTATTGAAATAAAAAATGTTCCCGCCTGAAATCTTCTTTTATGGACAACACAAAAATTTTCAAATCTTGAAATACAAGCTCAGTGGTCTAATCATTGTTTCAATCCAACTCTCAATTTTATAGAAAAATTAATGATTTTAGTGGAAAAATATTCATTCAAATTATGTAAAAAAAAAAATCACTGTCCTAACCACAGTTAGCTAAATTTGAGGTGTGTGCTGAATCACAGCTATTCCTTTACAGAACCAATTGGTCCCTGCTCACTTATCCGCTGTTCTCCTTGTGTTTAACCGGAGGACTGAAATGCAAGCTTCTGTAGCGCGCTGTCCGTTGTATGTTACGTTTAAGGCGTTGGTTCCTTGTGCAATAAATGTCCATGTACACGTTAAAACTACGCAGTACATTCGTTGGAGGTAAAATAAGGGATCGCTTCTTGGTACTCCACAAAAACCAGAAGGACAACCAAAAAAACTGTTGTGGTGGTTATCATTTTTGTTAACTTTACACTACTTTACACTGAAGAAGTCCAATCCAATTCCATCCAGTCTCTTTTAAAAGACAGCCGATACGTCGGTTTTGCGTTTGAGTGGAATAGTGGGATGGGCTGTACACAATACCGTAGCCAGCTGTTGGGACAGTTGAGACAATACATGGAGGTATTTTTATACCTCCATGGACAGTCCCACACATTTTTTTTTGTTGGGTCCACGAATAATGGGTTCACATCTTTAAAAATAGGCTCTCAGCGCCGGAGTGTGTGTGTATGCCCTATACTGCCTTACTGTATTAAGCCGGGCACTCACTGTGCACGACGGTCGTCGGCCGACGCGGTTCTAACGCAACGCAACGTGACGACGCGCGAGCAACGGCGGATCGTTTACCGACAATCAGCAGATGGCGTTGCGTCGTCAATTGCTCACAGGGAGCGGAGTTGCATACGTCGTGCGACCGTCGTACGACGCTGTGAGTGCCCGGCTTTACATTTACAAAGTATCCACTTGGGATTCTGTTATCAGGAAATAATATGAGGTGTTTGTTTGTTTGTTTGTTTGTTTGGTTTTTTTGTGTTGTTTTTTTTTTTTTTTTTTTTTATGACTTGTACAGTAATAATTTTGTTTTGTTTTGTTTTGTTTTGTTTTTTATTTGTTTTTGTTTATGTTTGTTTGTTTGTTTTTATGACTGGTACAGTAATAAGGTACTTACCATGACACATAATATACCATGCACCTCTACCGGATTTACCCTTTCAGCCATCTTTAACTACCAGACGATAACATTTAACATAGTCTTTGCCCTTGAGGGCGCATAGACACAAAAATGGGTCTAAATTATTGAATTCTATGCATAAAAACGAGTCTACTTTTTAAAAAAAATTTATCCAGATTTTTCATATTTAGCCTAAAATGGGTAAACTTTTAAGAAAATGAGTCCGGATTTTTCTTTTTTTTTTTAAATTGGTCAACCTTTAAGAAAATGGGTCCACATTATTTGAATTTAGGCTTATTCAAATCAGTCCACCCTGATATTGTACCGCACTGTTTGAAAATATTGGCTACGGCATTGCTGTAGTCAGCTCGGGGGAAGGAACAATTAGTTTTATCTGTACGTCTCCATCAACATAGCATAACATGTACCTACCTTCATTTCTTCAAGCGAAGATGTGCTATTGAATTCTAGGCACTCAAGACGATATGTCTCCATCTTACTTCCATCCAAACCGTAGGGCGTACCTTCGTAGCGCTAGCGATAGAATGTATAATTGTGATGAACAGAGCAGCCCATACCCAGACACGAAATTGTTAGGTAACTTAGTTACCCCATGTAATTATTAATATCACTTTATCGACTATAGGCATGAAATATGAAGTACACCATCTTATATGTCATTGATCACACTCTAATTGTCTTTAGCATTTTCAATATTACGACCCATTAAACATGTATTGTTATTGTCTGCATCTTGATTAATGATATATAGACCGGGGTTTAACAAGTCAATTCACGCGTACTATGGGAGTCTACATGTGTCGTGTGTTTCCATACTCTTAGTTGCTAGGTTACGACAAAATATCCATTAGTGGACTTCCTCATAAGGGGTGTGCGAGGAATGGAAACACGAACGTATTGTACAAAATTGCCACTGCGCTCGTTTTAAAATATACAGCTAGGAGGCACTCTACTCTATGCAAAGCAATTTTCTTGAGTGTATCGAAACTAATATGGATATTATTATATAAAGTATAGACACTAAAATTTTTAAAAAATTGATTGAAACTCATTGACGAACACATGCGGCATTTTACACAATTCGATTACATTTCTCTCTCAGGATTTTAAAAAAGGGGCTGAATTTAAATTTTCTAGGAAAGCGAACTTGCGGGATTATTACATGGCATCTTTCGTGTGCTCCAGAAGCTGTATGTAATCTCAGTGTTAAGTTTTAATATTCAGCTGCTTTTCATCATTCGCAGGCTACTCATTCTCGTTTGTTTACCAGTTATCTTACTGTTACTCATAATATATAAAGTTTTTACCCTGCACAATAAAATTGTCTTAAAATAACCACTTTGGTGACATATGCTCTATAGGTAATTGAAAATTGAGTTTCTTTGGGTACAACACTCATAATTGCACAAAAACCACGAAAACGTGTTTCGTATAAAACTCTTTGTTTTGTGCGCCCTCACCTCGAAGTCGAGGTTTTGACCCATTTACTGTTGAGTATTGAATGGAAATCATTTATGAAATACAATATTAAATGAACAAATTAAATCATAATGAATATAAAATATGTCTTCTTCTTTGTTTAAGGCGTGCGATTTATTCATGTTCATATTTTTTTGAATAGAAATATCGTTTAGAAAATACAATAATAAATGAACGAATTACTTCATAATGAATATAAAATATGTCTTCTTGGTTGTTTGATGCAGTTTGTTTAAAGTGCGCGATTTATTCATGTTCATAATTGTTAATAATTTTTTGAATGGAAATCGTTTATGAAATACAATATTGAATGAATGAATTAATTCATAATGAATATAAAATGTGTCTTCTTGGTTGTATGATGCAGTTTGTTTAAAGTGTGCGATTTATTCATGTTCATATTGTTAATAATTGTTTGAATGGAAATCGTTTATGAAATACAATATTGAATGAATGAATTAATTCATAATGAATATAAAATATGTCTTCTTGGTAAAAAACTTAACCACTGATCCAAAAGTAAAATAAAGTGATTTTGCTTATTCCATCAAGGAAGACAGACTCGCATACACGTTCCATAACAGATTTGATTAATTAAATTTGATTCAAAAACGTCTTTATACTGGATAACATACTCAGTGATTAACTGTTTTACACTATGGTTACATTTAAAAATCACAATAAAATGACAAAGATTTATAAAATTTAAACAACAGTACATTTAAAAAAGACAAAAGAAAACAAAAACCTTCAAAATTGTTCAATAAAAAAAGATAGGAATAATATTTTTTTTTAATCAATAAGGTTTAAAAATCGTATTTTTTTTTGTAACTAAATTTGAAAAGTGTTTAAAGACGGTGATTCTTAAATAAAATTTGGTATTTTATTCCAAGCCGTAACACCAGCAGTCTTGAAAGAGTGTGATCGTATTAATAATATTTGTTTTGGAAATAATAACTTCCCTGTGTTAAGTGAGTGCCTGTCAAACACATTTTCAATTGTATTACAGAGTCGAACTGGAGCGAGACCATGGATGCATTTATACATAAAATACATAAATCTCGTCTTTGCTCAAGATTTTGCCACAAGAGTTTATTTATCAAGTCAACACCACGCGAGTTAGCATATAATCGAAATTCCGATCGGAGAGATAATGCGGAAGAGTTTCCCTGGTCAGAACGAGCAAAATCAAAACATGGTTCAATAGTTGTTTTATGTAATAACTCAAGTAGTTCTCTAGTTATGTACAGTATATCCAAATTTTCCCAGAACAGTTATTAGGCTGAAATCGCTTTAAAATTAAGAACAAACAAATTGACTATGTAAATACTATTCGTAATACAATACAGTAATATACAGCTGCACAATAATAATTTTCTATGTTTGAAAAGTATGTAAAAATTATAACAAAATAAGAACATTCATTTTGAGCCTGAACTCGTGGAAAAAATAAGAACACTGAGCCTGGTACTGGTACTGGTATTGGGTATTTATATTGCGCCTTTCCCTTGCGGTTATGAAACGCAAGCCAAGCTTAAATAATTTCAGGAAAACAATGGTAGGCATAAAATCAGTCATTAGGAACGCCATGCATTACAAATAGTACAGTCACACAAGCAACAAAGACAAATAAACAGATTACAACTTAAAACACAAAAGGAAAAAGCAGCAAAAAAGGGGCTTAGTCAAACTAATAAGTCTTGAGTACACGTTTGAAAAGATTAGGATCTGAGATATGTCAGTTTGAAGATTATTCCAAAGTTTAGAAGCATAACAAGGGAATGAAAGACCTCCAATTCTCTTGTTGTAACGTGGTATAATGAAATGTACAGATGAAGAGAAACGTGTTGTACGTGTAGGGATACGTTGGTCGAGAAAACAATATAAATAGTTAGGAGAAAAACCATAGATACATTTTTGAACAGTGAGAATAATTTTGAAAATAATGATATTAATAACTCGCAGCCAATGAGGTTCATGAGAGGAGCAGTGTGTACGAGAATCACATGAAAAGACTAACGAGCAGCAGAGTGTTGCAATTTCTGCAGCCTAACAATGTCTTTCTTGAAGAGACCACCATAGAGCCCGGGCAAAACTTTACTGGTTCTTATAACAAAAACAAAAAAATATGTGTATTAGTCAGCGAAAATGAACCGAGATTGAAAAATCCTAATAATTAGGCTGCATTAGGCCTATTGATTTTAGGCCTAACCTCATGTAAGACCGCGGGGATGACTCTATTAGCTAACCATATGCCGAAGTGACAATTCTTTTTTAAAATTATAGATGTACTCACCAAACGCTGTATCGAGACATATTGGAATGATTCCTCACAAATATAAATGTGTAAGATCAAAAGATATTTTGCTTCATAATTAGTCAGGACCTGTGTACATAATTATTCACAACGCTTCGCACATGTCATCAAATCATCGACCACAGGGCCATGATTAAACAATTGGGTACAAAGCTCACTTCTTTGACAGCAGACCGACACATTATTGTAGATAATTTGATATTAAGCTTAGAAAAGCTCTGTCAATGATTATCAGATCATCCTTGACGAAAAAAACTTTGTATATGCTCATATTATACTCATGATGGTCCTACATGTTCATGATGTGATGTCACAATAACCATCTTTAGGCATGTCATAAATGTTGGTATCCACTACAGACAAAGATACTAGAAATACAAGATAGAGTTCTCGCATTGTAAAAATAAGGCGGAAGTCGTGCCCAACGTAGGCGGCGCCCTTCTTTTTAACCATGCAAGTTTCCTATACTTCGTGCCCAACGTACAGGGCGCCCTTCTGTTGCTAAGTATATCCAGAGGCAAAAGGCGCCCTTCCTTTTCCACTAATGGAGGAAAACTTTTTCACTAAGAATGCGTCCGGTCATGCGATTCTGCGCTGTATTGTTGTTTTATTCTTTACTGATTATGCTTTAATTGTTTTGTGTATTATTTGGATAATAGCAACGATTTATACCGCCACCAAGGAGGTTATGTATTCACCGATGTCACTGTTCGGGTGTCTATTTCAGTTTGTTTTTATATCTAGTATCTTTGTTGAGAATTGATAATAAAATACGCGACGACTTGGTAACGAAAGTTTGGCACAAGTTTTTTTAGATCCAGCTGTAGGGGCGTCCCATTTTCCGTATTCCCACCATGCATTTCGGTGGAACACAGTGGAACACTTTTTTTGTGTGGAGAACTCTATCTTGTATTTCTAGTATCTTTGCTACAGATGATAAAACTAAACTACGAAATGATATGAGGCCCATATGAATAAATCGCCCAACATTAGCAATAGAGTTTATTGATTGAAGATGAAGCAATAATACAAACTACGAGGTAGGCCTACTTTTTCATTAATTGAGATTCTTTTCACTCGAAAAGTACAAATAATATTGCAGACATGCTTAGATTCCTTTACCTTTACCCAGTGGCGTATCTAGGTCTTGAAGTGATAACCCGGGCCTTTAGGCATAGAAGTTCTCGCCTTGCCACTTGCGACACCCTGGCAAAAAAAAATAAAAAATCTGGACCTGCCACTGATTTGATAATGTAAAATGCATTGAAATGAAAAGTTGATACACGAAAAGTGATATAATACTAACAAAATAACAGTATTTATTCAATACTTATCAGTAGCAAATGAGATTAATGCAACAATGCAGAATTCATTATGACCTAGGTCCTATCAACTATTCAACATGAACGAATGCTTTGAAAATTTGCATTAATCTTTTGGGGGTTTTATGACAGGGTGATCTAAAACCAGTGGTCTTAAAAGTAGGATATAGTACTAGTAGGCCTATATAAAATACAGGTAAGCACTACTTTGTTAATAATAAGTGAAATATGTCTGCCTGGGTTAACAACAGTTGAGTATACGTTTTGTGTTTTTATATTTGTGCATTCAAAGTGACAGTAATCAAGTTTGAACAAAACGTTGTGTATCTTAAAGATTTGTGTAAACATTATAACCAAACTTCAAATGTATATTGGTTTTCTATATTATATTTTCACAAA